GCATTTTGTACAAAATACCAGTGCACAACTTAAAGTTCTAAAAGGCATTTTTGTCTCATTTACCTGGGTAGTCCTCCTCATACTCAGCTTTACTCTTTTTGAAGTTCCCAGTGGTGGATGAAAAATTGGATGTGTCAACTCCATCAGAATATCTGTTGCTAAGTCTTTCTTCTCCAAAGTAAAATGGCTTGAAATTCCTTTCTAGAAGAAGCTTCATATGTATTTTTAAATTAAAGGGTTATCTTACTTAATTACAATTTTGTGGATAACAAATGGTGTATATTATTTAATTGAAAGAAGTCAGTGGCGATTTTTCATCCCCACTACTGGGTGGTATAAGTGACAATGTGTATTTTAAATAGGGTAAACATCACTCACCAACTATTCAACACGTTTTCATACTATTGCATTTCTACTATGGAGATTGTCTTGATAGACATCATTGTAAATTGTCAAAATACGAGAAGACTACAGAGAGACTTTAATAAGTGTTTGGTTAACTGACATCACTGGATAAAATTGTCCAATGAGTGTACGCTGACTTCTGAAATCTAGGGTTCCCTATTCCAACAGGTTTGCTATTCTGGAGGGTTGCTATTCTGAAAAGACATTATAATTATGTTTTAGAGTAGAATTAGTTGGAAGCCAAGTCAAGCTTTTAGTGCTAAAATTCTGTCTGCAATACTGTGTAAATGCCTAGAACAACAACACGGCAATTTGAGAGGGTAATACTGTTTATAACAATCTTTCACAAGGCTTATTGCCAAGTTATGATAAACATATAGACTTTATTTCATGAATATTTAAATTTTATATTCATCCATCAATCAGAGGTGAGCACCAAATTTAACATTTATAATTAAACATTTTCTTTACACTCAATTCAGATTTTTTGTGCTACTCTTGGGGTGCATTACAGAATAGCAGACTTTTGAAATAGTGAACCCTTGGGAATAGCAAACCTTTGGAACATCAGACTGTCAGAATAACAAAACTCAGAACTGCTGTCCCTCAGAACAGCAAATTATAGCCACTTTCCCCACAATACAGGAAGATTCTGATTGCACGTGAGGAAGCACTCCGTAACAGACATATGAGAACCGTAGAACACTGAAGCGACCACACTTGCTATTGGAGATCACGTTCGTATTCAGAATCAGACTGGTCCGCATCCAAATAAATGGGACAAAACTGGCACTATTAATGAAGTTAAACAGTTTGACCAGTACCTGGTGAAAGTTGATGGATCTGGACGTGTGACACTACGCAATAGAACATTCTTAAGGAAATTCATTCCATATGTGTCATCTCTACCTCGTCACTATCATTGATGACCTAAAGCACAGTTTTTACATACAACAGCCTACAGTAAACAATGGCACACCTACATTCAGCAAATTACCAGAACCAGAATCTACCTTATTGAAAAGTTCAGATGAGTCAGTGGAGTTGGAAAAAACTGTCACCACAACTCTACCCATAGGTCCAAATGAAACTGATGGAAAGTGTAAAGAAACACGAAGCCTACCTTTAACACAACCATCTCATGAAACTCCTAAAGCACTTCCAAAACCACCACGGATATTAACAAGACTTTTACCACACAACAAACCTGGACTAAAGGAATCAAATGAAGGACTATGCAGATCTGTAAGACTAAATAAAAACTAACTTTAGCCATCTTTAGCCGTGTTTAAAAGACTGGGGGGGGGGGGAGGGGGACATAGAGGATAATGAGCATACTGTAGTTTTCATTAAAAGGTAATTGCTTACCAAGAGTACTTAGTCAGATATTAGATGTAGCCAAAGGCTATGTTGCACCAGTACATTATAAAGCAACAGTACTTTCCTGGAGAACATGTCATTCTCTATATGCACACTGTGTACTAGTATATAGTGAATCACTCAGACACTGGACTTCACCCTGAGGTGACTTTCATTTATTTAAATATATCAGTATTTCATAATCTAGTTCTTTGTTGTGTATTTCATATTTTTCCATTTATTATATTATTGAGTTTACTAATAGTTTGTTTGTATGCATTTCAGCCTTCATTGTTTCCAGTTAATAAAGATTGGAAATCAAATAGTGTCCATCTTATCTACAGTATGTGTGTGGGCTGTTGAACCATTGCAAATATTTTAAAGAGTATTTCAAAATCCTCATATTATGACAACTGTGCATATATATATATATATATATATATATGAAGTGTTCGCCTTAAATGATATGAACACCAAGATCGGTTACCTTGACATTATCTTTGTTGTATATACATTTTGCGAGGACAGTGGAACAACTTCTTGGCACTGCCCACAGGATTACCCTCTTCTGTTCAGACGATGAAGTTGCCATATCACTTCCAAAGAGACATTTCATCCTAAAAGTGCATGTTTACTTTCTTCATTTCATTCTACTAATCTGATTATTTTAATTATATATTTAATGAAAAGTAAGACAGGCACCCAGACAGTGGTTTAAAACAAATAACACCCACCACGGCTTTCACAAGCAACTGTGGTCTTCACATTAAGCTTTTCTTTTGTAAAAGGAGACTAAAATTGAGCAAAGTGAAGGTCAAACTCATTGACCTCGTTTTCGAAAAACTCTTTGTTAAAGAGAAGCTGACCATTACGAGACTTGTCACGGAGGTCAAGCTCACATGGAACAGTAGTAACCTTGCCTAGCTCACATGGAACAGTAGTAACCTTGTCCAGACTAGAGAAGTAAAGAAAAAGGTTGGTGAATCATTTGTTTGCACAAATTAATACTTTTTTAAATTGTAAACAGTAGAGGACTTTCTGGAGAGCTCAGCGTGTTAATAATATTGCTCGTCGCTGCTGTGCGTAAAGCGTTTGCAAGTTTTTTTAACAGTTGCGAGTTTTATGCGTAAGTAGATCTGCTATTTGCGTTTTCTGTAATGTGCTTTTTCGCTGTGTGCAGAGATTGCAAACTTATGCATACAAGTCTTTTTTCGATGTTTATCTTAAAACGAGTATTTATGTTTATCGTGAAATGAGTATTTTGATGGCTCAAATATCTCTGACGCAATTTTTTATACACTTGCACAAGTGAACGCTGATGGAGGGCTTAAGGTCCAGCTAGAGCTACTGATCTGTGCAGTTGTACCTGTGAATTCAATACTGTTTAGCTGGGCTCTGTATCTAGAAAGCATCACCAAATGCGACCGCATGCATGCATAGTGATCAGTCGCTATTTGCGATGGCGATTGCACCCACCTGCATATCTTGAAGCCTAAGCAAATGCAACACAATATTTTCATGTCTGAAAGTACAGTTATAGCCTTGATCATTACATCAGTTCGATTGCTGCATAAAGTGAAAATGTCAACATTATTGTGTTTGAGTTTGTAAGTAACAAAGTAAGAGAATGATGTTTTTTCCTGTTCGTATATTTACACTTGGACTACTTGGATACACATCAAAAAGACTACATCTGATAACACTTTACTTCGGGATGTTGCAGGAATTAGTCATAATTACATTGTGTTGGGAAATTGGAGTTCTTGACAACTGATCTAAACAGCAGCTGGGGGCACTGTGCCAACAGTGATCTTCACACTACATCTGATAACATTTAGAGATTGCAGTAATTAACAACTTGTCCAAACAATAGCTAGTGGACTGTGAGCAGCACTTTACCCATCTGGGATAATAATAGCTAGCACCTTCTCAAATAGAACAGGCAGAAAGTATTGTTACACTGTACTTGCAACAGGGATTCTCCCAGATATAATAGCAATGAAACAATTGCAAGGAAGAAAAAGAAGCCTGCATCTGCTGTGTTTTTTCTGTCCTGCTGCTGTACAAATGAGATGTTGAGGTGAATTTAGGGTAAAAACTGTCTTACATTGCTGACAATTTTGAATTTTGAAAAACTTTTCTAGTGAAGTGAAAGAGGATAATGAAGCTAGCTAGTTTAGCAAACCCTTGGATGGCACCTCAATGCACAAGTCACATAAGGTGCATGAAACATTTTTTTAGTTAAAAATGTGCAACTTTCTGGATATAAACTTCTCTGGCAAAGTGAATATCCATTCATCATATATGTTTTTTTTCTTTGCAATTTCAGATGAAGTTAGATGATGTATTGACACACATTGGTGGCTATGGCAGATTCCAAATTTTGATCTTTGTCCTGATTGGTCTAATCAACTTGCGAAGCAGTGGCTATCTTCTGGGGATAGTTTTCATTGGCTACAAACCAGACCACCACTGCACTCTCCCCACAAATGCCACATTGAATGAGTCGGTGCCCTTAGAACTGGATAATGAAGGGAACTGGCAGTTGTCTCAGTGTAAGATGTATGCTGTGTCAGGGAGTAACAAGACCATAACATGTACAGATGGATGGGATTATGCAACAGAGAAAGGAGAAAAGACTATTGTAACAGAGGTATGTAAACTAAGGTGTGCATCAGCATTAAAAAGTTAATGAATGGAATAAAAAACATAGGCATTAAACAATTTTCTTTGGGTATCATTTATTCTTCAACATGTGCAGCATGTGTGTTGAAAACCTGCTTGAGAATACACATTCAAGGTAACAAGATGTTTGTGAATACAGTGTAAATGAATCTGTAGCATGGTACTTATTGCATTATCTTGCTTCATTTGTCCTCTTTTGCATCTCTTCTTGTACATGTTCTTTCTTAAATATGGTGGAGATCATGAAGACAGATTATATAGTTTTTATCCTCCAACTATAGCTTTTTAAATATGTATGTAAAAGATGTCTTTTATGTGTGATAAAATATGCTTTGTATTTCAAAATTACCAAGGTGTTTTTTTATTGATTTATTTTCATGTTGTTAACAGTTATGCCCATGATGATAATGATTTCATTACAGTGGGATTTAGTTTGTGGTCAAGACTGGTTAGTGGACATGTCCACTACAATCCACATGGCAGGCATAATGTGTGGATCTCTGTTCATCACCCCTTTATCAGACAGAGTGGGGAGAAAACATGTCCTCTTAGCCTGCCTGTGGATACAGACAGCTCTGGCCTTTGGACTGGCTTTCACCACCAGCTATCTGCAGTTTGTTATTCTAAGGTTTTTTATAGGGGCACTTAACAGGGTGAGTGGAAAATATATATATTAGCATGATGGGATTTGTTACAGATAATATCTATGTAGAAACTATGCTAAGGACAGTGAAAGTTTCATTGTTTTCCTGGCAGAAAACGCCAAAGACAGTTCAGATAGAGATATTATCTTTGACTATCCGGATAGTATACCTGCTTTTGTTTAATTGTTTAAGGCAAATTTAAAGTATGTTTAAAATACATAATGCATTATGTTAGATATCTGAAGTATTGCGTAGGATTTTGTTTTATGTATTCAGACTTAATTAAAGTATTTATTGATTGTCTGTTGCATACATTTATAAATGTACATATAAAAATTTAAGTTGCAGTAAATAAAAGCATTTCTAATTTGTTATAAACTATACTGTTGGTATATGTTTTGTCAGAACTTGTTTGAATGTTGTCACTGTGGCAATTATAGCTGACAAGAATTAAGTCAGTGGCATTATTTTTTTAATTGATGGCATATGATTACATTTGCAGAAATCTGTCTGCATTTTTATTCAGGCTAACAGATTAATTAATTTTTATCAAATGCTTCAGGGGATTTACCTTACTTAAATGAAATATAAATATTTGCTTATTTTCTGTGAATTTCTTTTTATTTGGCAAAATGATCATTTGATTAAAACACAGATGTGCTATCCCAACCCCAGCAATGGCTCAATGAAAACATGATTTAGCAGAGTATCATAAACATTCCCGTGTCTTCCAGGGTATAGCAGTAATAAGTTATGTAATGATGACTGAAGTGTTCCCACCCTCTCACCGTACTCTGCCTGGGATAGCACAGCAAGTATTCTGGGCTGCTGGTCTCATGGGCCTGGCTTTTATTGCCTGGCTGGTCAAGGACTGGAGGGATCTGTCACTGGTCATCTCACTGCCCACTGTTCTCATGGTCTCATATTACTGGTAAGTTCAGTAGAATAGCCATGAGCTTTTTACAGTGCCACAAGGTACTTCAGGCATAAAGTAATCTAGATAATTTAAATCCAAACCACTTGTTGAATACAGCCTATACATGGCCATTCTGGTAAGAGGCATGTTTCATACTACATATGCTGGTCTTCTTTATACAGTACCAACTGTCATTGGGCAGTAAATTACTAAAACAGTTTCCCCTTCTTACCAAACCATCTAATTTATTTTGAATGCCTTTTCTGTCCATATTCCCCACAAAGGCTATGTTCATCACGAGTCCAGTATTAACCCTGATTACTCATTAATGACATTTGAAGCTCTAAAAAAGGAAACAAGTTTTGTCACAGGCCACCTCCTTTTCATGCACATTGAATGGGTCAAGTAGATATACTTCCAGACAAAAAATAAGGAAACAATGATTTTTATTTCAAGTCCAAAATCCACATTATGTTCACTATATTGTGCAATATGAATATAAGATGATACAGGTCAAAGAAAAGAAAAACAATTGATAATAACACAAAAATGTTTGAAATAATGTAGAATTATAAGTCTTTTAATCAAGTCCTTAAATAAATAGCTAGAGAAAAACATCAGTTACAGCAGACAAGTTACAAGTGACAACAAAAAGCAATAACATCATCTACAAGTGGGCACTTGTACTGCCCTGTACAGGTACTGTATTTACTGTACTCTGTACAGTTTACTCTGGGTTAATTGTCTGGCTGTGGCCATAAATGGATCGAAAAAGGCAAGACTGAAGCTAACTGTACACCAGGATTCAAAAGCGCAATGTGTATGGATGATTTACATAATTTATAGCTTGACATATAATGCATAGAGAGCTCTAATATTTTTTTATCATCCAGGTTTTATTAAGATCAAATTTTAAATTGAACATATGTAAATACGCACAACATTGTGCATTGATAACTGAGTCTGATTTACCTACAAAATATAGATTCCAAGATCACAGACTGGAAAAAAATACCACTGGTGTGTAATTTTTATGTACAGACACAGATGTGTCTGTACATATTGCCATCACCTGCGTCTGTCGTCGCCGTCGCCGATGGCGATGGCGATGCCGATGGCGATGCCGGCGCCGTGCACTTTCCTTGTAAACACCATAAGTGGAGGGCAGTTTTACTTT